GGTGTGTGTGTGTGTGTGTGTGTGTGTGTGTGTGTGTGTGTGTGTGTGTGTGTACGTACAATCATGGCAAACTAGTTAAACAAGAAACATGATAAAATAGGAGACCCCCTTTAATGGAAAGATTTATATCCCCATCTGCCAATAAAGAAGATATACAGTAGCGTCACAATTGACTGCATAGTTACTCTGAAAGTTATTACACAGTAACTGCAAAATAACTCATTATAGCTGTTAAAACTGCTGTAGACATTTAAAACTAGGCTGGACAAAGCATTAGGAAATGTATGGTAAGAAGCATGTAGTATTGACTAGAATATCCAATAGATTTTTTTTCCCACCTCTAACAACAGTACTATGATTCAGTGATGATCAGCCCAGCCCTAATATCCTGTTAACTGATAGCTGCACAATTAACCTGTATTTCCAGTGCATGATGAAATCTCTTGGCGCACCGTTCCATAGGAAAGTCTCAACAACTGGTGGGTTATTTTCAAGCTCAGGAATGACACACTAGGAGTTGGGTCAAAAGCAAACTGGCTTCAATTTATGCAATGGCCTTACACTGAACTTTAGGTCTGGCTGCTAAAATTAAAAGGCCACGTTTTTATAATCCGCTGAACTTCTCATCGTCTCCTCAGTGCTGTGTGTGTGAAAATTCACAGAATTGTAACAAATGTTTAAGAAAACACATTAAAGGGGGGAGGCACTATGTTCTTTATAAGCCAATTAATCAGGTACGTAGATAACTTGGCTTTATTATGCTTGTGAATCATTATTAAATATTTTTGCATATGCATGGCAAAGGTATTATGCTCTCTCAAATCACTCCACAAAGTGTGAATTAAAGAAAGCTGAATGCTAATAAGCTCTAAACTTGTGCACTGTGAAGCCAAAGGGGGATGAAAGAATCTTTGGTCTGCTGTGAGATCACATCAGGTTGTAGGAACCTGTGCTGCAGAGAGGTGCAGAGCTATTCTGCTGACTCACCCTGCAAGCCAGATGAGGTGAGTCTCATTAGCTTTAATCTAACAAGGTTGAGAATCTCTCTAAGAGAAAAGAGAGATTCCTACCTAGGAACTGCCACGCTCTGTAGTAATTATAGGCTGAGACTTGCATCTGTGATTAGTTACATTAGTGATAAAAGGTTACCCCAGGAAGGAGATGCATCTGTACAACATCCTTTGTGTGTGAGCCGTGTTAGGGGTAGTTGGATGTATATAACCACAAAACATCAAGAATCTTTTCCTAAGCAGTGCATATGTTTTTTTTTTCAGCGGAGTGTGGAGGCACTATCAGAGGAGAGTCATCAGGGCGGATATTGTCTCCTGGATACCCAACACCCTATGATCACAACCTCAACTGCATTTGGACGATCGAGGCAGAAGCTGGTTGCACAATAGGGTGAGTTGGGGGCCAGATATAGGGGCTGTTTTGTGCCTTGTTTTTACTCATAGCTCTTCTGTGGTGCGGCTTGGGTTTACTGCATTCTTTTGTCGGCAGAGCTGAGCAAAACTTTTTGGATGAATAGTTTATTTGCTAAAAATGCAGTTTGGGGTTGAAAGAAATTATTTGTGAATTTGGGTCAAATTTGGTGTATAGTTTTAGCCAAAAAAGAAGTAGTAGTAGTGATGACTCAAAGAGCTCAACCTATTTAGCTTCACAAAGAGAAGGCTAAGGGGTGACTTGATGACAGTCTGTAAGTATCTACATAAGGAACAAATATTTAATAATGGGCTCTTCAGTCTAGCAGAGAAAGATATAACATGATCCAATGGCTGGAAGCTGAAGCTAGACAAATTCAGACTGGAAATAAGGCATAAATTTTTAATGTGGAGAATAATTAACCATTGGAACAATTTACCAATGGTCATGGTGATTTCTCCATCACTGACCATTTTAAAGGTGTTTTTTTTTAAAGATCTGCTCTAAGAATTATTTTGGGTAAGTTCTCTGGCCCGTGTTATACAAAAAGTCGGACTAGATGATCGTAATGGTCCTTTCTGGCCTTAAATCTATGAAATTATGAAGAAAAAAATGCAAAAAAATCAAAACATTTCCTTTCAGAACGAGGTTTTGTTTTGAAATGTAGCTAGATTTCTTTGAAAAAAATAACAAGAAGAAAGTGGGGGGAAGACACCCAGAAATGAAACAAAAAAAGCGGAGATAAATGTTTCGTTCAACCCCAAACTAAATCTCTTCAGTCTTTTGTTTCAGCGAGAAAAAATGAAAATAATAATGCTTTGGCTTGATCTGAACAAAATGAGAGGCTCCAGGGTGGGGAGGAAGGTTCAGCCTCTTAGCTGGAAAATCAGTTATGTGCTCTGTTATCAGCCCTGTTTGCTCTCTTATTTGTTATATTATCTATTTTCTCTGTTATCAACTCTTTTTACAAGTAGGCTGAAGTCAAAACTGGTCAATGGATTTGAATGTCTAGTTCCCATTAAACATCCAAGTCCCTGAGACAGTGATGAAAATGTGACCGGTAATTCTGCTATAGGGAGGCTGGGTTACCATGTGCTCTTATGCAGTCTTGTTTGTTATGCTGGGATTACATGGTGGTTACTATAGGCTTGTTTATTTCCCATTTGCTGCTTCTGTAATGCTGGAAACTGGCTAGCAATTACTTAAAGAGGTTAGAAAGAATGTTATTTCACTTTGCGGATCACAAATGAGCCACCAACGCTTGCTCTTCTCCTGCCGGGATGGTTAAAAGAGGCACCATTCCCCCCCCCATTCTGGCTTTGGTTAATTTATATCCCCTATACGGCCTGTCTCTGAAACACACATTATTGTCAGAAACATCTGTCATGCAACACTGTGGAGAAGGTCATGTAATTTGCTGCTGCCGCTGTTGCCTGATATTATTGCTTTATTAAACTTTCATCTGTTAGCCTTCAATCCTGTGTCTGTGTGCCGTGCAAGAGACTTTGATTTTGTTTCCTCTTGGGATGTATTTCAGAGTTGAAAACCGGCTCGCCACGAGAGTACTGTACTGAGATTCCCAGTTCGGTCCAACATGCTTCCAGTTGTTTTATCCTACCAAATGGGCTTCTATTTGAGATCCAAGCACCTACAAGATTATATCCTAGGCAGTTAGGGGCTTGAGCCATCTCCCGCTCACACCACCAGCATAAATTAGGAATAGCTCATCCGAAGTGAGTAGAATTACACGGCTCTAGATGACGAAAGAATCAGGGAATGGGTCCCCAGATATGAGCAGTGAGTGGAGGAGCTGGAAGGATAAGATCGCAACACATGGCATCTTTTTATTATAACTTCACTGTTTTATAGTTTTAATAATAAAAAGCAACGTACAAAAGGGAATTATTCGCCCTAAAAGAAGCATCAAAATAGTTCGCAAACATCTGGCGAGTATAGAGACCAGAAAACGTTTCCTCCTCCCACTTCTCCCCCACCTTTTGTTATTGCCCCTCCTACCCCTTTGCCTTTGCTTCATTGCAGTTTCAAATTTAATGGGTTCTAGTTTTTAAGTTATGTGAATTTGGCACGGAGGCAGGTGGGGAACTGGCTCATAGACTTAGTGCAGCCACCAGCATGCTTTTTGGAAACTTCTGCTTCCCTGATCCAGCACTGAATTCCCCCACAGCCCTGCCACACCACCTCAATACAGCCCTGTACTTAACTGGATAGTCCAGTCCAGCTACGGCTGCTTTTAATACAAAACCAACAACTATTTGCAAATACATTTTTTGCTAGTAGATGGAGAAATGAGCAGAATTTATTCAACAAATTGTTATTTAGACCAGCTCTTCCGTTGCCCATCTATTCACCCTACTGCTGTTGCTCCCTATAAAAAGCTCTGCAGTAACACGTCTATACTGATCTGCAGAATCCCTTACTGTTCCAATCCTGTGTTCTCGGATTGCTCTGTCCCGCCACCTCTATCCTGACCCACAGCCTACCCGCTACAGCAGCACTGATCTGATCTTTACCAGAGACAGTTAATCACGTTGCACTGGGTGGTGCTTTTATTCAATGGCTTTATGCTGGGGTGAATTTGGTCCAGTATTTTTAAATGCAGAAATTCCTGCATGACTTCAGTCTTCTCAAACTGATTCAAGGATGGATGGTTTGGGGAAATCTGCATGAGAACTCTTAATGGATGCAAGGGGGGACTTTCAAAGGAACATTTCTCAAAAATCTCTTCTCCTTTTTCATTCCCTGCAAAGAAGTTTGTAATATCCCATGCAAATCTTTAATGCTCCTTGGCTCCCGTCAGGCAATGATGTCTTTTGATTGAGCTTATCTCCACTGATGTCTTACTCACATCCTTGTTGCAACTGATATATTCCAATTAACATGTACACGCGCTGTCACTATTAATAGCACTAGTTTGCATCACCTCTTGCTGATTTAAATGATGATCTGACCCGTGGTCCTTGTTCTAAATTGGCAGTGGTAGAAGCAGGCATTAAATTGCAGCAGTAGGAACAGTGGTTCTTGCTAGATTGCTGGGTACCAATTAGGTAATCAATCTAGGGAGAAATAAAATAAATGTGAATTTAGTACTCGTGGAAGGCACTGGCTTGACAATCAAAAAGATCGGAGTTCTGTATTTATTCATGGAATAAAGACTGCATGTGTAGCTAGCATAAACTGGCAAGTACAGTGCCCTAGATGACTATGGCTCTACATGTAACATGCACAATTAAAATATAAGGTCCCAGTCTTGCAGCCTGATCCATGCAGACAGATTTCTGACCCTATGCAGAGCCCCATTATCTTCGGTGGGATTCACTCTGCCAGACCTGTACAACCACACAATGATCCCTTGAAGCCCAGAGATCTGATTCTCATTTATCCCAAGGCCTCTTTACACCATTGTAACAGTGCAAAAGGACCGCAGAGTGGGTGTGAATATAATTCACCTGCACAGAGCCCAAAAGAGCGTAGCAATGGTGGCTGATCCTACCTCCACTAAAACTTGTGAGTAAATTTACCCCCACGCCTATCCCTGGCCACTTCAATGGCAATACATGAATGAGTCATGCTATATGCTAATATTTGTAGGATCAGACCAATGGTTTGGAAGGGCTCAAGAATGGAATGAAATTATGCCAGGTGATAATACAAATTGCGACCCTCCCTTTCATCAGAGATTAAGCCCCCTGTTCTGTTCCTCCGAACATCTGGTTTTTGTGCAGCTGAAACAGAACAGATGAATTTTGGTTTGTTGGGTGAGCGAATTTCCATCAACTTCATTTTTATGGTAATCCATCAGAATAATAATCCTCTTCATGCATGATACAATTGTATAAAGCTCTCATTTATAACTTCCATTAAAATTAATCACCAAAGCTTTTTGAATAAAGCTGTATCTCTCGGCAAGGGGGGGGGAGGAAAAGAAGAAAAGGCGGAAGATAGAAAATGGAATGTCCATTATTGCTACAAATGTTAAAAGGGGTGCACTTCAAAAGGGGATTAACCATCTCCCCCACCATAAAATTGCAACTAAAATGTCTCTAGCTCCAGTAAAGAGGTAGGGGGGAGGGGGAGGGATATTATAAGACAAATGAAACTTACCTCCGACATCTGTTTGTATGCCCAAGAACAGTCTGTGAATATGCTGATTCGGTGGTGTTTTATTGTTTAGCAGCCATCTCGGGGTTGTAAGGGAGTTTATTATAATTGCTAACCCCGGCCTAATGAATGGCACTGTACTGACAGGTCCATTTTTCAAAGTCTCATCTAAAAATATGAGTAGAAATATTTGGATGCGTGGATCAGCTTCATTAGAGACTTCTGGGGGCAGAGAATTTGAGGAGTTCTTATTTTGTTGGTATGGCGCTTTCAGGGGGTTAAGAAGAGCCCCAAACTCCTGACTCTGAGGGTCCTAGTCTTAAACAGAGGCTTGAACCTTTGGCTGATGGGCTATAAATCATTAACATTACAATCGTTCTGCTTCTTAACCAGTTCAGGACCTGATTTTGTGTTGTGTAAACTGAGCAGAATTGCTTGAATGGGAGACATTAATGGAAAATCCTGATGGCTGCAGTCAGTGAAGGTGTTGGCTCAGTATCATTATTTGTATTCTAGTAATGCCTAAAGGCTGAAAGCCAGATCAGGGATATCACTGCGCTAGGTGCTGCACATACACCTACTAAGGGGCAGTGTCTTCCTCAAAGACCTTACCATCTAAATAGACAGAAGTGGGGAAACAGGCTGTATTAGTATCCCCATTTTATAGTAGGAGTCAGAGGCACCGAGAGATTAGGGGACATGCCAAGGATCATCTAAGGAGCCCATGGCAGAGCCAAGAGTTGAATCCCATCTGTCCCTGTCCTGCAGGAGTGCCCCTCTTCCATTGCAGGCAGATCTCACCCCTGAGCAGGGCTGGATTTCCCTCAGGGACTTCCCCTGTGGTTTGGGGAAGGGGTTAG